CTAAAGAGCTTGTTGACTGAGATTCCACGTTCTCTATTTTTCTATTCCAGATATCAGTATTTACAGTGTTAGAGATGTTACCTGGTGGGTGCAAAGTGTTTATTTCCTGCTTATTTGTTGATTGTTGTTTGGTGTATCTGGAGAGTTTTAATGGGGGGAAGTCTTCTATTTTGTGATTAAATGTATCTGTGGCTTTTGTCTTGACTAGAGGAAAGTTTCTGTTACCAGCATGTATCATTTTTCGTGAGCGGATCTCCTTATATACTTGGCACCCTTTATAGTTAGCTGGATGATCTCCTAGACAGAGGGCACAAGTGGCTGGCGAGTTTCTATCCTTTTTCAGGCAGTCAGTTGTTCTGTGTCCTTGCCCACATTTGACACACCTGTATGGACGCATACAGTTATTTTTGGTATGGCCATATTGTTGACATCTGGTACACTGTGGTATTTCATTTGTTTTCCTTGGGTCTTCAATGGTGACCCTCGTGTGGAATATGGTTTGTATGCTTTTAACTACTGTGTTATTAGGGCCAGGCTCAATGTTCACGAAGAACATGTTTAGAGGTTTTTTATTTTTTCTGGATATTCCACAAACGATCTCGCCTCGAACCTTATTGCCTGTGTTTTCTATTGCTTCTGTTATAGCCGATTTAGGTGTAGTATGATGTAAGTTTTTAATTACAATTCGGTAGCATTTTTTCTGTTTTTGTGTGAAAGTATGACCAATGAGGCCATTATTCCGGATGAGTTCTATAAGATCCTTATATATTTCAGTTGAGCGTGTCATCACTCTTAACTGATCTCTATTAATAATTTTATATGAGTAACTGTCGCTGGGTACAGTATTGTTTAATAGTTCTGTTAACTTTGTTAGGTCTTCTATGCCATATAGTATAATTGGTGGTGGTTTGCTACTTTTTTTGACATGAGTGGATGGGTTTTCAGTTGTGTCATCAGTTAGATCTATGGGAAGCTCACTGAATCTGTTTGAAGTAGTTATCTCTGTTGCAGTTTGAGGCGGGCTGTTGGAGAATCTCTTCCTTTTAGGGTTGCGATCTGTTGGTACTCTTTGCCAGGGGGGAGGGCAAGCTTTGTTGTCACTATCCTTTATAGTATTTATCATCACTGACGGTGTATTCGGCTGATTTACTGAGTCTATTGCCTTAATATTTTCTAACGATGATGACCGAGGTCTCGCTATGAATAGGCTTGGGTGGAATACCTGTTGGGTAAGTTTTTTAGTTGTGCTGCCAGTCGTATTTACCGTCGCGGGAGCCTGGTCGCCTACTCCCGTGCAGTCTTCGGTGACATATTTCACACTCGCTGGCCCGGATACCAGCGAGCGCCGGGGGTTAGCCGGATCGCATGACATATCAATATTCGTATCGCTCATATTTCCATATTAAAATTTAGGACATACACATGTTGCTTTCCCAAGGCGACAGGGCCACACTTTTAGGAGGGATTTACATTTTATGAAAGTACTCCAAGGCTTGTGGTATACCAGTAGTCAGGTTAATTGACCGCCGCCTGATGTTCGGCGTTGTTGCTCATTTTGCACCACCCGGGGGGCACGTGTAGGGTGGGCCTAGGAAAAGGTGGTAAATCCTACGGACGCGAGCAACTATACCCATCCATTTTTTAACAATTTAAAAGTTCTTACCTCACGATCGCAGCGACTAACAGCCCCATGACCATAGAGAGCGCACACGCATAGTCCATGAACTCCGTAAAATCCGTGTCTCTCATGTGGAATATTGTAGACCACACCCACGCATTCATGCACACCTGTGGGATAAAAAATAGACTAAATCTGGCTGGTCTACTAACTCGCGCATTAGACCCGGCGCTCACTGCCGGCATGGTGCGCCGCGGAATGCCGTGGCATTCTACTGAAAGCCTAGCCACTCTGTCATGATTGCTCTACATACAAGTAACAACCTTATTTTAATTAGCTTAGAAATCATAATTCGTCGCAAGAAATAAAAGTGATCAACAACAGGAACGTCATCAACAACAGGAACGTCATCAACAACAGGAACGTCATCAACAACAGGAACCATACATCAATATCAATTTTAAACTCAATGCTACAACTGAGAATATTGACAATCAAAAAAACTCTGTCTCTCTTGATAATCAAACATTCTTATGCTTTGTCTCTCTTGTCCTAATAATAAAAATACTTTAAAAAAATGTTTTACCATTGCAAACATCTTCCAGAATATAACAAAAGGTTTGAGATTAGCTTTTGAGATGCGCAATTGCTGTAATTGCTTGAACATATATGCATTGGCTGCTAAGTTCAGTATGGATGCAAAGGCTGATGCTGGTTCTTGCATACCAAACATCCTTATGAAAGGCCACTGAAAATAATTATAATTTGACTTAATACTTATATAGATTCTTATGCAGTTTCTCTTTTAACAAAAAAATAGTTTTTTTTAATTAATAGTTTTCTCCTTTAAATGTCTCTTTGTAACAAGGAGCTAAGAAAGTATTAGAATTGTAAGTATTTAAAATTAAAAAAAACCGCGACCTTGCCATGAAACTTGGGAGTATCATCTCCATTATTATGGAAGACATCCACAGTGACCCACATACACTGGTAGCGACACTCATCCCTGCAGGACCATTGTAACACCTTACTCCAATAGTCCTGCTTATATTGGGTATTGCTTTTAAATAACACACCATCTGTAAATTATTTTAAAGTCTATGTTAATTGAAAAATAAATAGATTCTTTATTGTACACTTGTTTCATCAGATTAAATAGGATTGTAAATATTTTCTAATGTTTTGTTGTTTCTATTGTAAATTGTAAAAAATGTAATCGTAGATTATGTAGCCTAATATTTTTTTTAATTTATAGAGTGGAGTTTATAATTTAAAATTAATAAAACCTAGATCTAGCCACAAGAGGTCCACTGCTAACAATAGACATCCTAGGATAACTTCTACATTGGCCGGTTGTAATTAACCTACACTCCAGTAACTTTCTGTAGTTAGCCACAATAATTATTATACCTTACCTTCCATCATTGGGTCTAAAGTCTAAACTATGAATTCTTAAATTTTCTACATGTTTCAATAAAACTTGTTTAATACAAAATAACAATACTTACTGTCAGTACAGTTTTCTCTTTCAAATCGATTCAAGCAATTCCTGTATACCATAGACCTGTCTCCTATACTACAGGATACGAGGGATGAATGTTCGCACAAAAATAGTGCGATAGCTAAACTAATAAATAGTTTCATTTTGAAATTGGCTCTATTGTTTACTTCTTTCTATTTTAAGAATTTTAAATTAAATGGACTAAGGCATTATAATGAAGTAAGCCAAGTTGATCTCATCGAATTTTTGGGCTTTAAATTAAGTATTGTTTTTTAAATTAAGTACCTACAACAAATAAAACATGTTCGATTTATTGATAACCTGATAAAATGATAGAGATTTTTAACCCAAAGATGTTTACAAAATTCTGTCAATGTCATATTTGCAAATTGGTAAATATCCAACGTTCCATTTCTGGCAAACCACTATGATTGAAAACTAGTAATTGTAAATATTTATATACAAATTAATGGTCTTTGTGTAATTGTAATGGATAAAGTCGGATAAACTTCGTTTCAATTATAGTCCTATTTTATTGCTTATAGTAAAAATATTATTTTTAGTAAGGCACGAGTCTCATGTGCATCTTTAATGTCTGAACAAAATCGATGATTATTACATCCTCAGTAGTGACAATAGTGAAATGGAATTCATATGTCATTATTTTTATTATCGAAGCGAAAACAGACACACATAACCTTAAATTGCTTATATTCTTACTAAAAATAATATTCTTATTGAAAGATGGTGTTCATTTTTCGAACTTTATTCGCTGCAAGAGAGTTAAAGAAACCAAGAGGCTATCTTCGAAGTAAATTCTTAGATTCCGTCAGACTTCATGTCAAAGGTGGCACAGGTGGAACTGGTCTTCCGAAGTTTGGAGGCCTAGGAGGGCAGGGAGGTTGTGTTTACTGCATCGGAAAAGAAGATGCAAACCTCAAAACCGTCATGAGCAAACATCGAGGCAAGACAGTTAGTGCAGGACATGGAGAGGATAGTCGTAAAACAAAAATAGTTGGTAATCCAGGCTCCGACGTAAAACTTGAAGTTCCTCTTGGCGTAACTGTATATAGAGAAGATGGAAAAGTTTTAGGATCAATTGATAAAGAAGGTGAGACAGTAATATTAGCGAGAGGAGGGCCAGGAGGAACACCTGAATCAAATTTCTTGGGGCATCATGGACAACTACATCACATACGTTTAGACTTGAAATTAATTGCTGATATTGGACTCGTAGGATTCCCCAATGCTGGCAAGAGCTCATTATTAAAAGCCATATCAAAAGCTCAGCCTAAAATTGCAAACTATCCTTTCACAACAATAAAACCTAACAAAGGAATCATTTTTTATAAAGACCTCAGGCAGATTTCTATAGCAGACTTACCTGGTCTCATAGAAGGTGCCCATATTAATGTTGGATTGGGACATAGTTTTTTGAAACATGTGGAAAGAACAAAGATTCTGCTGTTTATAGCTGATGCACAAGGGTTCCAGCTCAGCCCTAAATATCCCAAAAGGTCATGTCTAGAGACTGTGTTGTTGCTGAATAAGGAGTTGGAACTTTATAATAGTGAATTACTACAAAAACCTGCCATACTGGCTGTTAATAAGATGGACTTACCTGGAACTGATGAGGTACTGACTGGTATAAAAGATGCCTACAAGGATATAAACTCAGTCCTTGATACACTGCCAGAAGATGTGAGGCCAAAAAATGTAATTCCTTTTGAAGACATTATTGGTATATCTGCACTGAGAAGAGGACCAGGGATACAGGAGTTGAAGGAGCTGTTAAGAAGGAGATTAGATGAGCTCGCTGAGGAAACTGATCCAAACATAGTACATCCTAGCAAAGTACTCAGACAGTCAAGAGCTATTGTTAAAGAAAGAGGAGCTAAAGTGACTTAGTTGAAATGTAAATAAAACTACACTGTGATAAAACTTGTCTCACTTTATTGTAAACAACCTTAAATAAATATGTAGCTTACATAAGTAAGAAATTGCATAGTTGCAAACTTAAATAATAAAACCGAAATGATATTTGATATTTTTATTAAACATTATTATAAGCTCCATAGTCTCTGCCTTACAACTACAATCACTTAAGTATTACTCAGCTAGCATACCAATTCACCTTAGTCTAAAATCTTTAAACCAATAGGTTCAAACCATTATCACAGTGAATCTTGTGTTACTGGGACTGCCAAAACAGGGATTTAAAGTTAGGGATACAAATGTTACATCAACACTATCATCAGCCTGTGGTCATACTGCTACAAATGTAACATGTGTGTTCAAAATAGCAAGTTTCTTTAGGTCTACATAAAATGTCTCTAGCTAACCAGACTATCAAATTGAAAATAAAAAATAGGAAGCCCTTACAAAATTTTTTAATGTTTTCCCTCCATCCCTCTTTTGATAGACAACCAGTAACCAGTTACGACATCCGAAATACCGAACCGATTTATAGTAATTAATGCAATTATGTGTAATCAGCTTATGCAGTAAAATGTCCGATTTAAGTATTTGGTACAAGAACTGAAGAAACTGCTTACCCCATACATCCCCAAGCGGTCACCGGTGACCGCTCTCCACTAACTACATTATAGACCTTATTTCCAATGTTTAGAAACTACTTTTGTATGAACAAATTTAGGGGATGAATTTCAACAGAAATTGAATTGAATTGAAATGTCGACACTTATTCTCAAAACGCTAGTTACACATAATTGCACTAATATCAGCAACATCCTATAATAGAAAAATTTAGTTAATAAAATCCAACTGTTTTCAAATAGTAAAAAAAACCTACAATATTTTTTATTAAGAGTAATACAATGATGGTAATCAAGATAACTCAGGAGTTACCTTCAACACTACAATCTGTCGGGACAGATCAATTAAAATATGGAGTAAAAAATGTTATGTATTAATGTCACAAGTAATATTTAATGAATCATGCTAATCGATATTCAAGACATTTGTTTCATCTCCACTAGTAGTAAGTAATAGATAAGACCCAATCGCAATTCTAAAAATCATAGAAAACCATGATTAGAAATCGCGCTAAAAGTTATACCATATTTGTGACCAAAGCAAATAAGATAAAGGCACAAACGAGCAAAGAGTAACATAAAGCTTTATATAAATAAAATAACAGTCTGCGCTATAACTTAAGAAGCAAAGCTAAACTAATTTGTTATTAACACTATATCTACTTTAACGCGTATACGCCACAAGGCACAAGAAGAAAAAACTAATACTTTATTTGGCGTAAGATCTATAGGTTAGAGAGTATTCACTCTCTTGGGTACCACGCTTAAAGAAGGAAAAAATTACCACTGTAAGTACCTATTTTCATTTTATACCCTTAACATGTTTGCAGCACAAAAACACTTCATTAAAACTTTTACAGTATTCAAATGTACCTCGACTGAAGGTCCTGACAGAAAACAGACTAGAAATATTATGCAAGCTTAAATACTAGATACTTATATCTCTGTTGTTTTGCCAATATTACAATGTCAAAGCAAATAACATTCTATGTCCCTAAACATAAAATTGCAACTTATACAAACGAATATTTACAGGTAACAATATTCCTATGGTAATATGCATGATAAAGAACTTTTCTTGATACCTCCTTTATAGTCACATAGTGTAAGCTTACGATTACGTTATGAACCATCAAGGAAGTTAACAAGAACAGGAGTTAACACTTACTGAGTTTCTTAGATCATTAGAATATGTTCAAAAAATCATCACACTATGTTAAAAAAAACCTACAGACGTATGCAAAGTTTTTATAATAAAAATTCTCTACATCTACACATTAATTTCAAGTCCTCACTCTATTTGACATCTGTTTCTGATATTTATAGACGGTTTAATTCAGTACAAAGTTAAATCATAAAAACATGTATCCAACCTAATTTGTTCAGTACAATAATTCGTTGAATAAATAATATTATCATTACATAACATTGCTTGACAGCCGTCCAGAAAAACAACTGTTAATCAATGGATACATTTACAATTTTAATACGGCGATGTTTAATATCTCATATTAAAACTTATGTTTTAGTACCATTGTCTGCCTTTAGACATGATATGCAACCCCGCTAACACTACATAGCCACCTTTATACATCAGCCCCTAATTACAAAGAAAACTGGAGTTAAACTACTGTATTATACGAGGACTCATGGTAACCAACCTAAATTCTACATTCACATATTCGATATGAAGAGAATTATTATTTGATACAGACATAAACACGTATAGTAGCGACACACTGTTACGTGAACATAGGTAGACACAATCAAAAATGTAACGGTGTCTTTAAGTGAGTCGATTTCGTTCTGAGTGTTGTAAGTAGTAGAGTAGGTAGAACGGTACGGGGCTGGTGGCGCGCTCAATGATCATACCTCTCCTCGGCCTCGGTGGCGGTCTCTGCGGGCGGCAGGCCGCGGCGACAGGAGCGCTCCGACGAGCTGCTACTGGCGCGCGACGCGGCGGGGGACCCGGCCCCGCCGCCCGCGCCGCCCGCGCCGCCCACTGCCGCGCCGGCACCCGCGGGCCCCGCAGCCCCTGCAGGCCCGGCTGGGATACCGATACTTTAACACCACTTTACATGGCACACTTTGAATGCGACTTCACATTATCGATTATATTATAACACGCCTTTTGTGTAACAACTTTTGAAAGTAAAAAATTGTCAATGATAGTTTACCCGAGTCGGGAATCGAACCCAGACGTTTGGTATTCAGATTTGTAACAGATATTAAAGTTCATAATACCTTAGGTTCGATATCGAAATCTCATGTACAGACAAACATAAGTCGCATATAGTGTATGAAATAATAATGTTGGTATGTGTTACCGTTGCCGGCGGGGTTGAGTGCGTTGTCGTGCGCGGGGCGCTGCTTCTTGGCGGCGGGGTCGTCGCGCGCGTCCTCCACCTGCGCCGGGCACTCCAGGTGGACCAGGTGGAACACCTACGAACAAACAATAACAGACTGTCGTGACATACTAAATTAATTCATAATACGGCCTGCGCGGCAAGTTTCAAGTCACACCGGGGCTCTTATTCTTATTCATAAACATTTGGCTCAGAAATATTGCTATTTTTAATGAATAGGTAGTTTAGTTATATGTCTCTATTACGGTGTTGCTACACAAAAATGAACCTAAATGTAGAATTAATTTCTTTACCTCATTGACAGAGTTGTTTGTACCAACGATGCGAATGATGGACACTGGCCGCGGCTTAAAGTATATCACTTGCCAAGATCTGTAAACAAACATAATTTGAATAGAAGCTGAACTTCTAGAGAACAGAGTAGAAAGATGACACAGGTACACATTGCATCTCAAACTGCGATAGATTTTCGATTTTATCTCAAAGCAATATGGTTAATAATTAATTAACTCAATTTGACAGTGTCAAACATCTTGATATGCTAATATCTTATCATTTTAAAACCGTATAAATACCTGCAAGACTCCCTAGTACGGTCACAGACCATCTCCCAATCCCAGTTGTTAAGCGAAGTCTCCACATAGTACGAATAGTGACGGTAGTCGCAGTCCCACAAGAGCATTCGTATAGAGGAGAGCAGGTAGGGCTGCGCTAGTTGTACCACGATGGCGCCCGAGCCGAGCTGGTGACACGTGTAGCCTTGGTCCCAGTCGTAGTTCTCCGTGTCGCCGTTGATTAGGGCGTTGCGGGAACGACTGTCGAGGTAAGGGAGAGTTGTTAAGACCAGGCGAGGTGATTGTGCCTGGCTTTTCGCCCAACCGATTTTCCTTCGGTGTAAACTTCACATAATTATGCGATGTATGATTTTGTGACGTCATCCGTTCATTTGTTGACATGTGTCATTATTTTGTTGCCATAGTACTATCTAGATAATTTTAGTTTAAATCATGACGACTCTGGAATGAGTGATACGGCTGACAAGAAACAACTACAATTTTAGTAGTTAAACCATACGGCTTTGTCTCGTGAAGATGGTAGAAACTACGGTCTGTCACCTAAACGATATTTGGTGATATAATCCATTCAACGGTGCCTTATTTTTTGCTCAGTATATGACGCTAGTGTAAACTTATCGTTCTTCGTCCAATAGGGAATTAGCTAGTGTCACACCATTGGACGTTCAATATTTGACAGCTGCTGTGATTGGACAATAAACCGCTTTCTACTGGTGAGCAAAAAAACGTTAGCCCCCCATTAAACGTATAAGGTGGTCCATCTCTAATATGATAGGTAGTATAAGAGTGGTGGAGTGACCTGATCCCCTCGATGACGACGGCGGAGAGGTCGACGGTGGCGACGTTGTGCAGCGGCTCCACCAGGCCGCCGCGCAGCGGGGGCACGCGCCACGTGTGCCGCGCCTCCAGCGCCACCGCGTGGAACACCTGCACACACGGCCAACACAACCTGCACATGGTGCACACCTACATACACTCCATACTCCCAGGTCCTATCAAGGGGGCTGTCGTGATGTAACACACGTAATCTCAAACTTCACACTATCTAAGGGAGAGTCATGGTTTTGGCAAGAATGGGCCGGCTCGAACGATGTGATATCATGAACTCCCTTGTGTTACGGATCCATGGGCGGCAGCGTGTGGCTTACCAAACTATTAGTCTTATCAGAATATCAACTTTACTGTATCAAAATAAGTAAGTCAATGAGTTGACGGTACCTTGTTAACAGTATTACTGGTGCCGACGAGCTTGATGTACTGCACGACGCGCGGCTCGAAGTACAGGTTCTGCCAGGAGCGGCAGAAGTAGTTGCTGTGGTCGATCACTCGCACCCAGTCCTTCTGGTCCACCGACACCTCGATGTAATACGCGTATGATCTGTACAAGGAATAAATAGGTAAAATAGACTCTTTGGCATATACCATAGATTCTATTTTACATTACCTTACTTACCATAATTATTCCCAATCTTCTCCATAATTATCTACGTTTAGAGTTACTAATAAATTGACCGATAGATAATTTTGTTAAGACACTCTTGGTGTCTGTATACAGTTTACTTGAAATGTACGCACGGATTTTTTTGGAGAATATTAAAAAATATAAAATTTTTGAAAGTTGTATTTTAGACGTTATTGCTAGAAATATAATGTAGGTAGTATCACGTGCCGGTTGTCCCTGTCCCAGAGCAGCAGGCGTATGTAGTTGAGGATGGTGGCGGTGGCGAGGCGCACGATGATGCCGGGGTTGTCGGCCGCGTCCGTGATGGTGTGGCGCGTGTAGCCGCGCTCCATGTCGTACGTCTCGGTGTCGCCGTCCAACAATGCGGACCGCATGTCGCCTGAGATCACGCGAGCACCGCGTTTTGGTGTCGCCACGTTCTCCTCCGGTACTGAGTAATAAATTAATAAATAATTACTACTTTAGGGCTCATTGAACACAGTTAAATAAGGGCTATTCAAGCCTTATGGAGGCAACTTAAAGTAGCCAAAACAAATAAGTCCTAGTGGAAAATGACAAGTTAAAAATTCATAATAGTCTGCATTTTAGTATTTTTAACTTTTAAACAATTGGCTAAATATCAATTGGCGTATCCCTAGCGCGCGACTACAAATCGATTAAATTATACTTACAATATAAAAGGGAAGGGCAATAATAATTGTTGTATCGATAATCGATAATAAACGGTAACAATACTACATGATTCATAAAATTATTCACTGTCTATTTTTATCAGACTTATTATTGTAGATTAGTATTGTGTGATTACCTACCGAAATATATTACGGCTAATATTTTTGCTGTTTTTTAAATTAAGTGATTGCTATATTGTATGCCTAAAGGCCTACAATAGATATTTTTGTTACAGTTTGTGCTTCTCTGGATACAAATAAATCAGGCGCGCTATCTGTACTTCGTGATATCTGTATATAGCCACCGTCATAAAAAGAAAATAAGAATACTTTATTTCACACAGTAAAAACAAGTCACATGTACAGAAGTGTTGTGATAATCATATATGGCACATACCACATAGCAACATTTTTGAGATTGTACTACTGACGAACGTAAACATATAACATAATATATCTCCTATATCTTCAAGATTCATTTCGCCTTGAATATCATTAGTTAAGATTTAAAATTGATTTACTACATTCCTTAGACTCGTCATATCCAAAATGGCTACAGGATGTGTATAATCTAAAGTAGGTATGCAAGAGGTATCACTTTGGCACAATTTACTTACTTATTGATATCATTTTGTTTTCTATCAAATTTAAATTTAATGCTGAACAAAACTGTGTCGTTCTAGGTCTATTTAACTTAGATTATAACTGAGTTTCGCTAACACTTGCACTGCACCGGATAGAGGTGGGCTCCGTGTGTCCGAGTTTGACACGTATCACATACTAAAAAGAACAACGCAATAAAAAAGGTTGGATGATGAATACTTAACTATCGATATCTCGTCGATAGCTTCTATCTAAGGTATTTCGCAGCACATGTGTCAACGCAAAGATAAACATTACACTTCACCAGATATTAATTAATGTTTTTGAAATTGCCTGTTTTACTTTACGCTACTTACCAGTAAGTGATTAATTTACTTTTAAGAATTTTATAAATAATTTTATGTTTTCAGGTATCTAATAAACCAAGGAAGTTTTTCTATTAGTTTGCAAGCTTAGTGTAAATTTATTAAATATGTTGCGTTTTCTATTGACCAAATTGGTGAAATAAAATAAAATTTGATAAAAATTTACTTACTATTTTAAAACGAATGATATTTCTACCAGCATTCGTTTTATGGCACATAGCAATATTTTTTGAGTTTATTAATACTAATATTAATAAATGTTTATTGGTGTATTGACAATTGATAAAAACTAAAATAACTTAAAACAAACCAGTAATAGTTTCTATGTTTTTGCAGTTAGTTCTGGATTTTATGACCAAAACCAAAAATGTTGAATATCTCAAGAATTAGTAACTTTGGGACTTAGGGACCTCAGAGCCAATTTTGTAGGATTATCTCCCGAAAGGAATACGTCGACTTACAAGTAACCCTATGTGGCACAAGAGGTCAAAAAGTTAAACTTCGCAGTGTCTTGCAGTACTAGATATAAAGACATAGAATAGAGGAGGTTGAATAAAATATTTTACAGAGTATCATTTCTGGTCGTGGAATACCTATTGAAATGCGAATAGTTGCAAAACTCGGTATATTTTTACGATCATTAATATTACGAAAATATTCGTTCTTTATTTTATCTTCATTAACTAGTAATATTAAATATACCTACTAGGTATACTTACAGAGAAGGCCTCGGTGCCTTAGTTCAGTACTCTTGGTCTGCGTCTTCTCCTGTATGGCGTCGAGCAACATATCAGGAGTGACCAACGAGAACGGCCGCACCACTGTCAGTAACTCCTCCAGCGTCATCAGTGTTAGGCGGACGCATTTCAATATTTTTTCCTGATCAAAAACATTATCAAGTTAAGTTTACATTCAGTTCCTCTTTGCAACCCAACCCACACGTCCCTTCTGTTTAACAGTCTTATAAACTATATTGCATATAAGTTTATTTCGGTGTTTTTCCTGAGTGTAGGTACAGATACATAGTACAAATTTAAAATCATTATTATTGAAAATATGACTTGCAAAAAAAGTGTACACCTAAGTATTCTGCAGATTTACTACTTACGATTTGCGCCTGCCCAGCTTCAGACTTGACCCATAGCTGGTTAGCATTGAACCAGTTGCAGACCGCCTTGAATATGTCGACTTCTGGCGCGAAGAATGAGTCGCGTTCTAAGAGGCCCTGTAGAGCTTCCTGTGTAGGGGAACAAACGAGTTTTATTGACAAACTCATGCATGCGATGACATTGGAAATTTGTCTTACGACCAGCTCATTGACAGCCGGAATAGTACAGGTGAACAAAGGTCTGTTCTGTGGGAGGGTTTGCCATAAAAACGAGAGAAAAATTTAGTTGAGTATGTACTTACAACAGACAGTTGCAAGAAAGTGTCATGCTGCAACACGTCGATAGCGTTCTTGTCTAAGAAGTTGTAGCAGTAGTCCATTAGAGCCTTCAGCCCATACAGTCTGAAACATCGATCATGATGACTATAAATAATATTTACATGTCTCACCGGTCAGTTGATCTCCAGCGCTATTGCCAAATATAAGATCCCTTGTCTTATATTTAATTCCCGGGTTTGATGAGAGTTTAGTGAGATTAAATTTATATTTTTAAGAAAATTGTCAATAGGTCTGCAATTGTGCCCTATTACGTAATATTGGTAATTGGCAAAGAGATTTATCGAATATATAAGACCCTCTAAATATATATGCTATACTATGTTTATTTAACTTTCTTATCATACCTAGCAGCATCAAGCACGGAGCAGACATTCCTGAGAGCGAGCACCTGCCTCAGGTAGTCAGATATGGCGGTCTCCAACTCCTGGAAATTGAACTGATGTGCCAGGCCCAGCATGTCAAGCACTGTGTCTTCTCGCAGCATCGATAGACCCATATGACCTAAAAATGGAGAACATATAAATTTCAGTTGTGATGATTCATTATTATAGCATAAAAAGAAAACTATTAGATCACACAACTTTAGACTTTGACTATCTAAAAACATTGTCTATGTATGATGTTTGTTACTACGAAAATAAGTACCTGAGTACACATATCGCAGAAGGGCCTTGAAAGCTTGGAGGGGCGCTTGCAGTTCCACCTCCGCCTAAAACATATTTGAACGCATGAAAAGAATAATAAATGTCGATAAAGTGAAGGAAGTACGTTAAAATTGTTGTATACAATCGGTATAGATAAATGAGGAAAATCGACAGGGTAGATTATTTTAAGAAAAAAATGTTTGACTTCCTGGTAAATAGACCATATTATACATTGCATGAATTTTTGTCTGACAGATTCGTTAACAGTTGAAACGCCATTTTATGTTTTGATGCAAAATTAAATTAATACAAGTTTCTTTATTCAATCAGTATTTAATATTATAATGTATGGCTACTGCAATTTATATGCTTTGTCACAAACTATTGTATGCCTAACATGGTGGAGCAGTGCCTGAACACAACAACCTTTAGAACAACCTTTGTAACCACTGTCTCACAATAAAGATCTTTGACTTTGACTTTGGTATATATATATACTCTTGGAACTTCTTCAATGGGGAGTAGGTTTCACAAGTTAATATTTATTATGCAAGGATCAAGGATGTTACCTGATTGGTCTCCCTCATGCCGCCATACAGCAGCGCCCTGAAGTAGTCGCTGCTGGCGGCCAGGATGACCTTGTGGGCGGGGATCCGCTGCCCCTCTACTATAAGGGTCACATCGGAGTACTCAGACGACAGGCACAAGGAGCCTATGTGTTCCGACAGGTGGCCTGCACAAATTGACATGTGATGCAAGTCATGTTAGCCCTACAAATGAATACTGGTTAGTAGGATACACAATTAACCATGAAACTAGAGACATCTCTCCCTATTACAAATGTAAGCTTCAATATGGATGGGGGTATAGCGACAATAATTAAAAAGAAAGGAAATGTTGAAGGTAACTGTGTGATGTAATCAAGCAAAGCTTATTTATTATTCTTTATTTTGGAAAACCAATAATAACTGGGCGGAAACTGGTCCATTATCTATTATTTTATTGGCAATAATTTTATTATTTTTAAACACGTGTAGACTTTCGGTCCCTCGGCCTATTTCTACACGAAGGATTGATTGACCGCAGGTCGTCGTGGTCCGGAAACATTGCCACACGCATCCGCTGTCGATATGTTCAACATCTAGATTTTACTGTGCAACCAATTATTGCATGTCTAATTGAAATAAGTAGTGCCCTGTTGGAATTGCATTATTAATGTCAAGCGACCTACTAGCAAAAATATTTCGAAAACAGGTTCCATAAGGCTCCACATTATACATAAATTCATAATTTTATTGTGGGAACAGTATGTGGATGACAACATCCTTTTTTACACCGAATTTTCTCTAGTTGGC